GGTTTCTTTTAGGTTTTGGGGGCCAGGTCTTACCCTGAAATCTAAACTGACATGGAAGTCAAAACCCTACCACCCAGAGCTCCTACATGCTGGTATCTCAGGTATGTGCCCACTCTCCAAGACATTCATTTCTGTACAGAGTTAAATGCTTGCCAAAGATTACAAAGCCATCCTCTCTTTCCACCACAATAATGATGACCCAAGGAAAGGAAATGGTTTGCTTGAACCAAATCACAGGTGTTAATATCTAGAAAGTAACTAGCAATTAAATCTCCTAACCATAATTATATCAAAAGTGCAAGGATAGTTTTTTTAAAAAAAAAAATCAATTGTACATTATCTCTTCCACCCTTGTACATTTATCTTTCTAAGACAACAGAAACAGAACAGGAAGCTGGGTAGTGGTGGTAGATGCCTTTAACCAGAGCACTTGGGAAGCAAAGGCAGGCAGATCATTTTGAGTTCAAGGCCAGCCTGGTCGACAACGCTGAATTCCAGAACAGCTAGGACTGTTACACAGAGAAACCCTATCTTGAAAAACCAGAGGTGGGTGGGTGGGGTTGGGTGAACAGAATAGGAAACAGACCACTGAATTTGGGTAAAGGCAGAAAATGAGCAAGGAAAAAAAAACCCGCAATAAAACCATAACTTTGTATGTTGGAATTATAAACCTGGCTTATGCTTAAAAATCAGAGATTTCAAAAGCAAAGAGAAATATCGATGAAGCTGGGGTGCCTAGTGAACACACTGAACTCACCAGCACTGGGGGAAGGCACAACCCTGTGTCACAGGCATCGGAGGCTTCCAAAATGTTCTTGTGCCACCTTTACATGTGACGAAATGTGAACAGTCACTCAGAAGCCATCACATTACATATTCTGGTTTGTTTGTCTCAGGCTGTGAATTTCAAAGAGCAGATGTTTTTGATTGAGGCTCTATGCAGCCAGTGCTCAGAAGCATAATTACCATGAGCTAGCATTTATTTCACCCTCACAAGCCTCAGGGGTAAGGAATTGTTTATTGGATCCTTTTACAGCTAAGGGTAATGAAGCCTAGAAAGGTTAAGAAATTTGTCCAGGGGGCAGGTTCTCTAACTCATACCTGTAGTAGCACCATTTGGGAGGCTAAGGGAGGCCATCTGCTGGAAGTCCCAGGCTAGCCTGTTTGTCTCAAAAAGAAACAGAACAAAGCTTGAACAGTGGAGCAAAGCTAAGAAGTGCAGGGCAGACACAAACCCTGTTCTCCATCTTTACAAACACTGGCCACTAGGGATGCCACACACACAGATGTTAGAGGGGTTGCTGGGGGTGTGTCCGTCACAGCTACATCATTATGTATGTGCAGGCATGACGGAAGTGTGTGCATATGGCTCCACCGTGTATATCAGAGCAGGATCTCTCCCTGGACCCTGAGCTGGATAAGCTTGCTGGCTCCGAGAACCCCCTCTCTCTGCCTCCAAGCGCTCTAAGGGATGTTGATTTCACAACCTCTTTAACAAGAATGGTCTCCCTAGCCTATGGAGCCTTTACCGCTTTATCATGATCTCTAAAGAAGAACTTAAGAGTGGCATGCTTCTGAGAAAGTGCTGCTCAAACACTTTTGTACTCAGGAAGCCCTAAAGTGATCCGAAGGAACATTCAAGACACAGAGCTTTTTCAAAGGGAAAAAAATTGGCTGGGCATGGCTAACTTGCAAAGCTGAGGCAGGAAGATCTAAGAAAATAACAATAGAGAGGAAAAAGCAATTAAGTCTTTGATCCTTTACACATAACTATGCCCCAAAAGTAGATACATCAAAAAACCACATTCAACTGAGGGAGATGCTGCATAACAAAAGGAGTTTCTGCCATTTCCTAAAACTGGAGCTAAGTGGAAGGAAATGCAAATGTGCTCAAGAGAGCTCAAAGCAGTCTTTTCTGAGCCAGGTGGTGTTTTAAGAAATTAATCTCGCACAGTGGCGTCCCTGGCTCAACCATGACAGTACACATAACCTTTCTAGGTCAAGGAGCAGTAATTCCTAAGATAAGTCCCTCCCGGATCTGTCACTTACACACAGGCTCAGTTTCACTGTAATACCTTAGCAGCTCTTGTCTGTCTTCCTCACAGGGCGGATGGAGAACGTGGTGGAAGGGTTTTTTAGAACAAGACAGTATGAAACAGAAAGTGTTTGGCTGGTGCTGTCTCAGAACTACTCTGCTTATACAGAAATCTAACTCCAAAAACCTCATGAAACCACTCCTTACAATGTGTTTTTACTTCTACTAAGGACAGCTTTATCCAAAACAACCAATTTCACGTGCCACTGAGTTCTGAGCAGAAACTATCACTTGGAGCACATCTAGTTCTTTGGGTCTTGGGCTGTTTCTACATTTTTTCATCTTCTACACGTTGATATTATAGAAGTAACTACCAGGAAAAGATAAGAGTTATCGCAAAAAGCCTCTAAAATTTGTTTAGAGAATATTTCTAACGTACTTTTTCTTTTTGGGGTGGGGGGGAATGAGGTGCTAAGGCAGGCTCTCAAGGAGCTCATGCTGGCCTGGAACTCCTAATGTGAAGCCTTAGGAACAACTTGGAGCTCCTGATCCTCCTGTCTCCACTACATGCAGCCAAGAAAAATGTTAGTTTGGGGGAGGGGAGTAAGGTGAGGACTTGGGGGTATAGCCCAAGGGGTAGAAAGCCTAAGTAGTATGCACTAAGCACTGGCTTCCACCCCCATAAACATGCATTAAATGGGGAGGAAGGAACATACCAAAAAAGGGCTATTATTGATTCCAGCTGACCAGAAGTTATATTATTTTTTGGCTATAGGATACATGTTTCCCTTTCTGAAATGAGGTAGGAATATTATCTTTACAGTTCAAGGGAGATGAAATTTCAAAAGAAATTTTAGTCATAAAAAAAAAATACTAAACAAGCAGGCTGTAGTGACAAGAACCTTTAAGCCCAAGGCTCAGGAGGACAAGGCCAGCCTGGTCCACACAGCCAGTTCCAGACCAGATGGAGCTACACAGTGAGGCCCTGTCTAAAGAAAATAAAAAATAACAACAAAAATAGAATCACTAGACAAAGCCCCAAGGCACCATTAGTTTGTAATGCCCTAGTATGTGTGAAGTGCACTTCACTGAGCAGGAGAGGACTGGAGGTAAATCAATGACCATAACCTTGGCTTACCGAGGGCTCAGCTTCTGATCCAAGAGTTCTGCCTGCACAGGAGGAAATGAATTTCTAATTATCAATTCTAGGGAGAAGTGATGTCATCACTTTCAAATATACAAATCATATGTTCAGATTTATGAGTCCAAAGGTTAAAGTTAATAGTCACAGCACAGGCCAGGAATGGTGGCAAAAACCTATAATCCCACCACAATGGGAACCTGAAACAGGATTGCCAGGTGACTGACCAATCTGGCCATCTTGTCTCAAAAAAAAAAAAAAAAATTGCTACACATAAACCATGATTTAACCAGATTTCCTGTACAACAACCAAAATAGTTTTATGCTTCTTTTTTTTTTTTAAACATATACCCTGGCTTTCCTTCACTAAACACATGAACTAAGAAATAGCACCTACTTAATATGGTTTCCTAGGCAACAAAGATTTAAAAGAATATAGCTCAATTCAGCACACAGCACTCCATCCAACAACTAGTATCACTAGTCTACATACAAGTAAATCAAAAGAAATTCCAAGCTTCAAAGTTTCAAACTTTAAAAGTCATTGCAAAAAAAAAAAAAAAAAAAAAACCACGGTTGCCAACACTGCAGTTTACCAGGAAGCAGCACTGCTTTTAATTAGTAAGATATTTTCCAGAAATAAATCTCATTAAATCTTAAAACCTTCTCAAGGAAGTTAATACATAATAACAGTCTAACATGGGGGCTCCAGGCGCAGCTCAGTGGTAGGGCACCGGCCTAGGACGCAAACAGCCTCTGCCTTCCCAGGACTGCAAAAAATACACAAATAAACATGTTTCCACTTGAAAAGCACTTCCTTGAAGGAAATGTAATAATTTTCCAAGCTAAACAAAAAATCATTTTGAATCTACTATTTCCTCTATACTTAGTCAACAAGCATGCTTTAAAATTCAAAGTCTTTTGTCTAACAAGTTTCTTCCCCACAACATATGGGTTCCTTTAATCTGCTCAGAACCTTTGTAGCAAGAACCGAAACTAAAACTCATGAAAGTCCCAAGTGTCAGGAACTGCTCTGAACCCTAGACAATGCTCATGGTTTAAATATATTAAAAAAAATTTTTTTTAAATAAATATATTAAAAAATTAAAAACCCCACAATTTATCATTAAAATAAAGCGGATGACTTGAATAATCCAAATAAATGTCCCACCATTATTGCTCAACTCTAAAATAAGCCCCAGCCGTTAAAATAATAATAATAATAATTTGGTTTCTTGTTTGCAAAGAAAAAAGGGAAGCACATCCTGGTAATTCCTAAAGAAATGTACTGCAAAACCTAAAACCAAATCACGCCAAATAAATTCTGGGTATGAGGAATCCTAACTTGCAAATGTTTGCTGTTATTTTAATCCTAGATTTTCGGGGTTTTCTTTCCTGAGAATTTCTGTCTTTAAATACACTGACTCACGGAAATATCCTCAGGTCGCAGCTCCCTCTAACCCAGGGCATTAATGTCACTAAGACTTTACATACAAATGTTGAAGCATCAACTCAAATAAGCCTTCCACTAAGGCGCAGAATAGCGTTCCCTAGCATCCTGGCGTGGGCAGCAGGTCCACGGTCATTCCGCTCTGGAAGGGAGTTCTCCCTGGGCACGGAGGATGTGGGAAGATCCCAGGTTGGATAAGGCAGGGATGGGAGGGAAGCGCGGGGAGGGAGGGCAGCGCCGTGAGGACTGCGGGAGAAGAGGAAGGAACCCCCGAGCATGACAAGGGCAGGGGCAGCCATCCCCGGGAGCCGGGCGGGCGTCGCTGCCGCGGCCAAGGGCTTCGGGAAGGCGTCGCGGTCCCCGCCCGGCCTCACCTGCAGGGTCACCTCGCGGGGGTCCC